CACACACACACACACACACACACACACACACACACACACACACACACACACACACACACACACACACACATATACATACATACATACAAAGACTATTTAATATTAATCTTCAGTGTGCCAAAACGTTCACGGAACCATACTAGTTTAGAGGGATTGTTATTCACTTTGACAATTCTTACCTAAAACACGTAACACCTCATGGTAATGAAATACTGATATTGATCCAGCCAAGAACATGAGAAAAGGAAAGAAGTTGCAACCAAAAAAGTTTTTGTTTCTTCAATAAATCTGCTCCAGTCAAACATTTGGATTGGCATGTCAATCTTAATGGGCGTTGCAGACAGATATTCTCGAATGAGTTTGTCGTTTATTGCCACTAACATACTTTTCAGGTATGGTGCCATTAACACATATTGATGGTTTTCTTTGGGTATGGCAATACCATTAGCATTAATCTGAAAAGAGAAATAAAATTCAATGCGAAATTCACATTACCTTCAAAAACATTTAAACTCCTCCATGCAACGAAATTAACTTTATTTTTTATGATTGCATTTTCAAAATTCAAAATGACCTCATCAGATTTTTGCCAAACTCTCAGCCTGCTTTGTTCTTGAAACGGTTAAGGTGGCTCGCTACAGTTGTGATTGTACAGCACATGATTTATTCAAAAAATCATTATTTTCTCATCTTGGCAAGTATGATCACGAAACTCGGCCAAATAACTGCTACAATATCGCGAATTACGAAAAATAAAAAATGTCGTTGAAAACCCCCGTTGCCATGGTAAAAAAGCGATTTTAAAAAGGGCCAATTTGCAGATTCTTTGATAATTTTTTGAAATTTTCTTCGGTAAAACTTTTTAATTTTTTGCACACAGTAATGTTATCTATAATTCCTTGAAATAATAGCATTTGAAAAAAATCGTACGGGAATTATTTTTTTAATCCTCAAAAGCCCTGTTTTTGGAATAAAAAAATTCGGCTTGTACGATTTTCATGGAAATTGCACATTTTACGCATTTCAAGATTACAGGAAAGTGTGTGAAGTTTTAAAAAAATTTACTGAAGGAAACACGAGAAAAATACATTTATTTTTATCTATGTGACGTCACAAAAATCAGGATTTCAATTTCCTCGCGCAACCAGCCGACAACCCAAGAAGGCACGCGCGTGTATATCACGACGCAATTTTAAAAAAAAACGCCGCGTGTGCAAGGTCTGTGGCAAGGTCGACCACGTGTGTTGCGTGTAGCACTACCAATCTCGCGCGTGGACAAAATTTCCGCGACATAGACCTAAAACTGTAGGGAGCCACCTTAAAAATCTTTGATACACAGGCCTATATAAATTTTCTTCACTATGACATCATATAGCATAATGGCTTTCTAAAAAAAACTCCAAGATCTTGGGATATCGTGCATCGAAATCATCAAACAGAAACCGCGAATACATAACATTGTTATAAGTATTTCAAGAACGAAACAAGCTTATATGTTTTGGCATAGTATCTAATTAACATTTTGAGTTTTCTTTTTAAAATAAACGCTATGGGGGCTGTGTATTGCTTCTTAATGGAAACACTAATGTAGATGAAACACTGTATATCTCTGCAACAAAACCTTACCTGAACGTCCTCGTTCAGAACATAAACTTCGTTTCCCAACTGCTCTTCGTCAGTTGTCCATTGTCGCCCAATGACCAGTGCTGCTTTCTTCGTTGCTCTGTCACCATTTCCATCTTCCCAAAACTCTTCACCCAATTTAATGAGAAAGTTGCATAACTGATTGTCTTGCACACCTTCCCATAAAACCCCTCCTTTACACGAGAATGTCCTATTTATAGCATTCCGAAAATTTTTTGCCACATTCACCTCATCACACGTCACAAATGCTTCCCTAAAAAGTTTTCAAACAAAAATAAATTTAAACACTGCGTGCACTAATAGTGGCGAATATATATATAAACTATTAAAGAGGATATTACAGGGCAGCGCGAAGATATGACTTTTATCTTCGAGTGGTGAAAACAATAATCAATATTTTACGAACGAGCGCAGCGAGTGAGTAAATTTGGACAAATATGCATGCTTTGAAATATGCTTCGAAATATATCCCGAAGTGTTAAAATAATTTTGCTCTTGTGCGAGGGTGTAAACATTGCATTTCTTTCTTATATCGTATTATGAAACCAACGTGTTATGAGACTACAAAAAGCATTTGGGAGACAACATGAATTCTAATTGCTGCGGAGCGAGCGAGCCTGAAGCGAGCGAGCGTAGCAGCAGCCTAAGATGTGCAGAGAGGGGGTTCTGAACTAAAGTTTATTTAGCGCATGGAATTGTAGTCGTGCGCGCTTTCTATGCGCAGGACGCAAATTTTAAACTCGCTCGAGCAGTTCGAATTTTTATCAAATTTCTAAAGCTTTTTCAGTCTAATGTTACGCTTACATTTGTTTTGGACTTTGGCCACTGTCAATTCTATATTTTTATAAAGTTTTGGTTTCTTAGTGTGATAAATCTGTGTATATAGACCCTATATAGTCTATATAATGTGGTAAATGCGCCCATATAGCAGTAAACAGACTTGATATGAAATCTGATCTTAACTATATGTCAATGAGACGCACATGTTTAATATCTGTCACATCTGATTGCCCTTTAACCCCTGGTCTTTGTAGCCTACGGTGTAGACCCCACGTGTTTCTGCTGGGGTCTACACCGTAGGCTATGGTCTTTGCTACTTCAATATATATTGCTTCTTCTCAGTTCCATTCACAGCTCACTTGTCGCTGCGAGTAATCACTGTGCTTGATATAATTTGTGCTGTTTACTGTAGTTCTATTTGCTTTTAATGCCCGCAGCAATCCCTACCTTGCAGGTACCCTAGTTCAACAGATTTATTTCGCGTTCGGCATAAATGATTACTTTTCATGAATCATGAATACTTATTTGGTCACTGAAAATCACAGAACTGTTCCCGTTTTTCAGGGCAAATACACTTGACTACACAAAGCTCTGCTTTTCGGATGCGTAGATATTTAAAAAATTCTGGTTAACACTCTCTATGTAAACATGCCCTTATCAGTTGGTCTTTTGCTATGTAGTCGACGTGTGCGGATGTCGCAATTTGAGGCGCTATATATGCATGTATAGTTAACGTTTCCTTTAACTAATTACGTCATAGTCGTTTCCGGCTTTTGTTGCCTGCCGCCTAGCCATCCTGTTGCGCTGTTGACTTTTTGTGGCTAGCCCGTTTGCGGGCTAGCCATTATCACATAGTACACAAACGCGATGAGCGATGATGATGGTGTCCAGTCCGGATTTTCGTAAAGTATCGGGAGCAATCGGAAGCGCCCGTATTTTTCTGCCGACATTTCACATTTGCATTTCGAGGCAATACTAGTGATGTTGTTAGTTTGTTACGACGCAGTACTGGTGAGGTTGTTAAACCAGAAAATTAAAATAAAGTTTATCTTCATGGCTTCAACCTATGGTGTCGAAACCGATCAGAAATTGCGCGTCCTTGCCGTGTAAATATGGGTTTTGATTTACACTTTTGACTGATTTGCGGGCCATTTGCCATCTTGAATTGTCTTCTTGTTGAGATTTCATATCTCAATTGCATTCGAAATGTTTGGTATTTTAAAGAAGGGGTATTGTTTG